TTTTTATTAGTATGCTTAGGCCTACATATCTAAATCGGTCCAGGATGGGAAAAAATTCAACTACCTAAGATTGCTTAGACCTTTGCCATGACCTTGACTGAGGACATGCCTTTGTCCAATCTTTCACGAGATGATGTGAGGAAGGAACCAATCGAAGTTCTTTCTATTGAGAGATTAATGTTCCAATATCTATTATTGTATTTACCTTGATTATTTGCAATTTTTAATTGTTGAACTACTGGATTTCTTCCCGGATATCAGAAAAATTCCTAATGCGTGTTGACTGGATTTCTCAAAAAGCCCAGTAAATGAACTCTTCTTCAAAAATTCTTCAACTTTGAGTACTAAGTGAAACTACACCCTCCAGTGTTATGGAATTGTTTGTAGGAAGCAATAAATCAGAAGGAAAAAAAAAAACTTGTTTCCTTGACCTCTTTTTCTTTTCTTGGATTCTTGTTTGAAAGCTTCATTCAATATTTTTTCCAATAATATCGGATATCGATATCGGTTATCGAATATCGGAATACAAAATATCGTATTATCGGAATATCGGAAAATTCTAATATCGTTACATCCCTACTAACAGGTGAGTGAAATTTTGGAACAATTTAGTATCTTTAAAATTTGATCATTTTATTAATTATTTCATGTTACATGTCAGAAAAAAACTTTCATTTGAAAACTTACTCAGGGTTATTCAATCATTCTGTATGATTTTGCAAGCTTTGCTGTACATGTCATTTTGGCCATTTTGCTACAAGCATGAAAATTTTCAAGGAAATCCATGATGGTTGGGCACAGTCTGAGGACATGGTATGATCCTTGTGTTTGTGTGAACAAATGATTTAAATATATGAGTGCTAATATTAATAATTGTATCAATGTCTCTTTGCCTTTCTATTTTCTAGGGCACGTAGTCCCAGCTCTCGAAGTGGAATTCCCTCTACAGTGCCCCATTATAGTGAAAGGGATCGAGAAAGAGCTTATCCACCTGAGTCCTCTCGCTCTAAACGAGGTAACAGTGCTGATTCAAGAGACAAAGATCGTTACAGAAGCAGGGATTCCGTAGTGAGTTCCCTTGACAAACTTATCTGGTTTATGTTTCCTTCATTTTTATGCTTTCACATTTTCCTTTTCAATTTGTATACTATCACTCTAAGTTGCCTTCTTGAATCCTTATGTCTCAGGATCATCTGAACTCATCGGATAGGGATCGTGGAAGAGGAGACAGAGAACGTGGAGAACATTGGAGAGAAGATAGTAGTCGCAAGTATCTCCATCGAGACAGTCTACCTCCTCCACCTCTTCATCCTCCTTTGGATGATTATCGTGGTAAATTCCTACTATTTGTCTACAGTTCATTTAGCACATCTCTTAGCTGAAACATGTATCTTTGGTTTTTTTTTGTAGGATACCATCCACATGCAGACTATCCCTTGGATTGGGAAGCTGACAGAGGTGCTCCAGCTAGTTCATATTTGGACCCACCTGATTACCATCCTCCACCTCCACATCCATATGGTTTGCCCTTATGGATATGTCAATTTAGTGCTGCATGTACCAGCTTAGCCAACATCTGCCAATGGTACCTATAAATTGGGTTGACCTTTTTTCAAAGAGAATCCCAATTTTTTGGCCATTCCCATAGGTGTGCACAAAATGGCTGTTGACAGGGAACTGCACTTTCAGGAGTTCTCTGTTTCTTTTAAGTTTTTTATTTATACAGGTGCATATCTTTCACTTCAATTAAAATTTGTGCTGTGTTGGCTGCAATAACCTGGACCAATAATGCTGCTACATGCTGGAGGTGTACCATCTGCATATCTCTCACATTGATTTAGCACAAAAAGTTTTAAAGTAGTTACAATATAAAATGTGCAGACAGATCTAGAGTGAAGACTACTGATGTGGATGCAGTAAATGAAAAACCAATCAACTTAGCAACCTCTAGGGATGTTGACCTGATTTGGCAATAGAAGTGCTTTTGTGAGAGTCTCAAGTGCTTACAATACTGAAGTACATCCATTAAAAAAACTGAAAATTTTGAAGTTCAATATCTCTGGAACTTTAAGGCATAGGACAGTGACAGTTTAGGGGGATATTCAGGGGGTCATGGGATTTTATTTGAGACTGTTAGCAGTATTGGACCACTAATGAGAGTATGTAATAATTTTCATTCATAGACAGAAAAGTCGTGACTGACTAAGAAGCAAAGAGGCAAACTAATAAAGTTTTTCTACACCAACATGGGTAATGCTGTCATTGCCTTGCGAGAATACCGCATAGCACACAACCTGCATTTGGGGCCCTGCTTGAGACAAGCTCAGATGAAATTTGTCAAGTTCAAGGAGGTGGATTGTGTTTGCAACAAGCCACATGGAGGCAGGCCATGAACCCCTGTAGATGTTGCTGAAATCAAAGGTGCAATAGACAAAGAACCTACCACAAGTGCACAACAAACAAACTTATGGACACGTTTCAGCTTGTACAGAACATTTGTAGAGTTTGCCTTAGAACCTTGTGCACGGTTGAATGGAGAAGATCCAGAAGATGGGCAACTGCATGACTGCTGCCTGTTCCATGTGCATTTGTGCTAGGCTTTTTGTCATTACACTTGTTAGTGTAGAAAAGCATTATTAGCTCTCTTCTCTGCTTCGTAGTCAGTCATGACTTTTCTATCTATGACTGAAAATTATTAAATGCTTTCAGTAGTGGTTCAAATATGTATGAGTATATGTAAATATGGGAGGGAAAATAAAATGTAAAAAATTGTCACATTACAGTGTCAAATAAAATCCCATGACCTCCTCGAGTATCCCCCTAAAATTTCACTTTCCTATTCCTTAAAGTTCCAGAGATATTGAACTTCAAAAGTGTAAGTTTTTTATGGACACTCTGTATATGTGGGCCTATCAAAAAGTTCCTGGAATGACCTTCATACAAGCAAACTATGCACAGAAGTTAGGTATCAGTATGATCCCCTCTGGAATCATTCCTTTAGCTTGTGATACACTTCTCCCAGCATTTACAAATCGCTTGGAACAATGGATGAACCCATTTTTGGCAACCTCCTTCAATGCATTGGTTGCAGCTGACTGGAGAGTGCTTGTGTTATCAAAGCAGCAGCCTTTCAAAGGGAACTTCATTTTGAGGAACAGCATAAACCTCCTAATTCTAGTGCGAGTTGTACAAGTGATTTCTTAAAGGGCGTAAATCTGATGAAGATGACACACAGTGCAGGCCCTTTCTGAACTTGTCAGAAGTGAACATCAGCAATCAATCAGTCCATGGAATTTCTAATCATTCATGGGATGATATTGTTCCTGCATCCTCCGTGCTTGCCAGATCTTTCCCCTTGTGACTTCCATTCTGTTTCTGAAAATGAAGTTCCTTCTGAAAGGTTATGGCTATTCAACAACACAGGAACTCTTCAATCAGCTGCAACCAACACATTGAAGGCAGTTGCCAAGAATGGGTTACAGCCATTGTTCCAAGCCATTTATAAATGTTGGGAGAATTGTATTACAAGCTATGGGAATGATTTCAAAGGGGTTCATTCTGAAACTTAACTTCTGTGCACAGTTCACTCATATGAAGGCAATTCTGAGAAGTTTTTGATAGAGACACATTTATTAATGCAAACAGACTAACTTGGAGTGAAAATACTGATTCAGCTCTGGCAAATGAAGAATTAAAATACTCACTGCCATACTCTGAAGTTCCTAGCCATATTTGCTAAGCAGTTATAGAGATTTACTCAAAGTCTGCTGTGTTTTATTTTAAGATTAGGAAAAAAAATCAAATAGTGTATACATGATGAGGACCTGGAAGGATTTGGTCAAACCACAAACAAAACCTATTGCTTGAAAGAGCAACTAACTGACAACTAGATCAAGTTAATTCATTGTTGGCAGCAAATGTGTTGATGGACTTGTCACCTTGTCCTGATTGTGTTCTGGAATTTCTAGAAAGAAAAGGCAGGTTGCCCTTTCAGATAACTGTGCATAAGTGATTGCCATGAATATAAAAAAAAGACTATCAGTTAATATGGTAAAATCCGTTATTGGTACCCTGTTTTCCTGCAGCTAAATTGTTTAATTAAATGCTTATGTACAATTGATTTTCTTGCAGTGGATGACTTGGGTCCACCTGTGATAAGTCACAGCCACAGGTGGAGTCCACATCATAGCCGAAACGCTTATGATGATAGAAGGTATTCCACAATATTGATAAATTCAGTGCAAGCACATCTTTACACATGAAGTGATCTGTTTATATATTTTGAAGGGGTCTCAGTGGAGATTGGATGTCTCCAACACCAAGTGCCATCCCAGCTGATTGGGAGAGGGAACGTGAAAGAGGAAGGGTTAGCAGTCGTCGTCCTGCATCTTATAGAAGCAGCTCCCACTATAAAAGAGATGGAAGTGTGGAACACCGTAGGAGCAGAGACAGGTTTGTCACTATAAAGTAAAAACCAGCAACTGGAGCTGATTCCACTTTAACAAATGATGATATCTCTAGGAAAGACAGCTGGGTTGTACCTCCAGTGAAGCAAGAAGATGCAAGGGAAGAATCTGACAGGAAAAGAGTCAAAGATGAATCAGGTCCATCCAGTTCAGGTGAGTCAGGAAGGTCACAGAAAACAACATTATCATAACCAGTAAAAAAAATCAGTGACCTAAAATATTTATATTAATATGCGCTTCATATTTGTGGAGGACAACAACATCTTAGAACTGCCATTTTCACTATGCCCTTTGGGGAGAAAAGTTATTTTTCATGAATAAGTAAGATTTCTTTGTTGTGCCAGAAACTAGTAAATTGGAACATTTTGTCTATATAGTGAGGCAGCAGTAAAAGGCTTTATGAGGCAACAACTCTTATTACCACAGGCACTACCTGATTGTTGCTGGGTTTCTTTTAGTTGTTATTTTGCATGTCATTTTGTAATTCTAAAAAATCCTCTAGAAATAAAAACTTTTCCTAGAAAAATTTAAAATAGGAACGTTTTGATTATTACCTGCCATTCATGAACCTCCAAAAATGTTATATGTGCAGCAATTTTTTTTGGATTTGAGTTCTCTCTTCATTAATTCTTGTGAATCACAATTTCCTTTTGTAAATGTGGGAACATGAATACAGAAAGACCTCATGGACAAAAAGAACTTAAGTGTGGATGTCACTGTGCATCTGTTCTAGTTAGGTTGTCATAAAGGGTGATGAGATGGCATAGAAACAGAAACGCAGCTTAAAAAGAAGCCATTTGAATTGTATCATTAATTGAATCCCTATTGCCCAGAGTGCTAGCAAATGTAGCTATGCATGCTCAGTAATAATGGTCAATGTTTGATATTAGGAGCTGATGGCTGGAACAATTATTCATACTCTGCTCCAGGATGGGATCAATCAAAGGCAGAGTTCCCCTCATCCAAGAGGTATTGTGCTTGGTACATTCCACAATGTCTTTTCGGACATCCAGGAATATTTTCTCCTTGCAGGAAAAGCAGGAAATGAAACACATGAAGTCACAAACCATTCACATGCAAATATTCCTTAAATTGCTGACAATGTATGTATATATATTGCCACAAATATTCTATTGGATGTGTGTAATGCTTACATGCATCTCTGGACTTGTTTCATTATATTTAGCATTGTATAGTTTTATCTTTGTATCAATAGTAATTATGTTATGAGACTTCAGATGCAGCTGTGTACAATGCAGTAGGAGTACAAGGGTTGCTCAAAGAGAAATATGCCATCCTGGAACTCATATCTTAGTCAACTACAAGTCCTTCAAAACAATGCAGGCTTCCCAAGCTGTTGTTGATGTGGTTGCTCATGTGCACTTTTTTATATATCATGCAATGACCAAATTTTGTTGCATTTTCTATTTTTCCTTTTGGATGAAACACATATTCCTGGACACCCAAGATGGACCCTTCAGTTTCAGCCCAGATTGCTCAAGCATGTGAATCAGATGATGTGGGTTCTTCCCTGCAGGTCAGGGGAGCGAGATGACAGAGATGTGGAGCCACCCTACAAAGCTGGTAAATGGGATAGTGAAGAAGCAACTGGACTGCATCATCCTGATGTTAGTGCAGATGTTCCATCTCAGCTGTCTGATGTCTCTGAGGACTCCAATGATATTCTCAACCGAGACGAGGTATTATGCTTGTGCCACATCTTCATGCATGCTGGTGGCAGATAGTTATACAGTTTGACATGTAAATGTAGGCATAAGTCATTCATTAATAAGTAAAAAGTTATTCTACATCAAAGATAATTACTGTTCATATTTTAATGTTTTCTGCTTGTGGGAATGAGGATTCTCTTAGAAATTTGTGTGATTAATCTCTAGCAACTTAACCCCCCAGTAATGCACTGCATTTTTGCCAGCATTGATCATGATGCATTACATAGGGTGCCCCATAAGTCTGGAGCCAAAGGTACACATTTACTTATATAAATATAATATTAATTTTCTATTCATTGGGTTCTTGCAGGTTCCTATTGGTTCTCCAGGTACAGTGACAGAACCTCTACCTACTTAATCTAAAATACTAAAATAGTGCCATTTCTTCAACTTAAACCATCTGAAATATGAAGAAAATACCCTGCCTATGGTTCCAGACTCATGGGACACTGCAGACATCTTGCATGCCCTTTTATAATGTTTTGAATTCCCTTTTTCGCTGTTGCTTTGAACTCTATATTGATACAGAATTGGTGTCCTTTTCAGCTTACTCTTCAGTTTGGAAATGAACTAAAAAATAACTGGACCCAGGTCATAGCAATAAGTAGGATGCAGTAAGATGTCACCACCAACTGCAGCTATAATTTCTTGCACTATTCTAACGATGTTTGACCAGTGTTGAGATGCAGGAAACTAACTTTGCTTGCAGGAGTTCAGACCTTTGATCTTACAATGCTATTTCCAGTTTTTTTGTTGCAAATAATGTCTGCTTACACCACACCTGAGCAAATAATGTCTGCTTACACCAACCAATTAGGTTTTTCCTAATTCCACAAAATACTTTTTAGAAAAATTCCTTCAATTTCAAAGAACAGCAAACCCATCACTAAGCCTACAGATTTTCCAGTGTGGCATTTCTTTGGGGGTGGAGATGATGTTTATGTGCAAAGCTTGCTGTTTGGAGTTGGAAGTGTGAAAGATAATCACTGCCATAAATAACATTCATTTCTGCAAAAATGTCTGTTGCATGCACCCAACACTTGGCACAGTATTGAACAACACACTGTCCTATAATTCCAGTGAAACTTTGATCACAATAGATGTCTTGCAAATGTCAAATCAAATACTTCTTACATGGACAAGTACAGATTCATGTGACAAGCCATCATTAGTTTGCAAATAGCTGGTAGGAGTAATACAGTGTTATCTGTCTTAATATTTAAAGGACAATCCTCATATGAGCTGCATCATATTGTAAAATGATCTAAGGAAACAAATATGAATGAGTTTAATGATGCCTTGCTCTCTTGAGCTTCAGTGATCATGGAGATGATAATGCCTGCTAATCCTGCACTTCAGAGTTTCAACTTTAAGTCATCCAAATAAATGCAATTTCATCTGCTGCAGCAATTGTCATCTGGGTAGGACCTGCACATTGGTCAAATGATGTGGCAACCAAACTCTCTCTCAGGAAATGTTTTGTTTGTCAAACTTCTCTGTGAGGATACTGTGCACTGACATATTCAGAATCCTTGCTTCAGCTGAAAGTGCTTTGCAGGTCTAACATCTGTCCTGTTGAAGAATGTCATCAACCTTCTGTACGGCATTTTGCATTTTACCATTCCTGAAAGTCATAACTCATCACTACCATCATATGTGTTGAAGAAATAGCAGCACAAGTATTATGTAATACTACAGGAATTAGATAGGGAGATTTATGTAGCAATGCATTACATTTTCCTTCCATTCAAATGTCTTGAGAAACTTTGTTGCATGGTCAGCATCCATCTTGGTTACATATGCATGAGCACTGTAACTAGTGTATGTGGAAGGGTGCAACTATTCCAAGCATTTGCTGATGCTCGGGATGATGTCATCATATGCTGTTGTAATGCTGAACTGATCTTTGAGCCAGCTGATTTTCCAATTATTTTTTTTGGGCACCAAATGCATATCACATCTCTTCTCCCTATTTCAATTTCCCTGCATTTTGTAGCAGGCCAGGGAACTCCTACAAGCAGACAGTTGTAGATCTGCATTTATCCTGGAGAATGGAACTTGAACTTGAAAGCATGCAGCCAGAAGCAATGTGCAGTCAGGAGCACAACTTCTTCCTGCTAAATGGCAGTTGATAAAGGAGTATGTGTGAGAGGCTGCTGCATTCACATTGAATCATCTTAGAAGCCCTTGCTGTTGACTATTTTTCTTTTAAACAAATGTTGAAACCTCGAATGGTGTGCTTCCATTAAATGTGCTGAGGCCTAATGTTAGTGTTAGGCTTAGGCCTCTAGATGCAACCTTTGCATGCACAGCATGATGGGTGGATGCCGAATGTTGGTCGCACTTGGCTTGTGATACATGCTCCATATGCCCTATCCTAGCCGATGTTTTTGATTTCTTGTCTTTTCCCAATTGTAGTCATGTGGAATGGTAAAGCTGTAGAGCTACATAGATTCTTAACAAATGCCCCAAACCAGAAGTGATATAAGTCACTTCCTTACATCTATTGTGAAAACAGAATCTGATATTTATGACTAATTTTCTTGTGGTTTGGAGCAATATTCATGTTTTTGGGGGATTTTGGAAAAACTCATGATTTTGATAAATAAAAAAGGGTCATTGTAGAGGTTTTTCACTTCATGCTCAATGCTGAACTGATGCACTTAATTCAAGTTAACTCTTTCATGGGCAATGGGAAGCATTCTTCCAGAAAATGTTTGATCCTCCCAGTGGCCTGGGAGGGCTTCCCTACCACTCTATCACACTCACATCATCTACATATGACCATAATAGGCCAGGAAAGGTTCCCACCATAAATATGAACATTTTGGGGGGGGGGGGGGGGAAACTGGAATTTCTCAAAATAAAAGCCTCCATATGTGGGAAAAGAAAATGTACTGAACATTTTCCAACTTTTTTTTTTTAGTCAACTTAATTAATAACTCTACAAAAAAAAGACCTACCCCATAGACATGCACAAAGATCGCTATCAGTATCAGTCATCTTTCAAGAAGAGATATCTGGAATCTGCATATTGGCCATATTTTTGTATTGGTACAGCCCTAGTATTAATTCTCATTACTAGCCACTTCAACAAGCAATACTTAAGAATTTTGGAACAGTTGTCATGGGTTGCAATGTGACATTCATCTTGTCAAGATATTACCATAAAGTATATACCAAGAGTATGACGAAAAGAAAACCAGTGACTGTTGACCCCTGAAGTGGATATCTATCATGGCAATATGCTCCATGGATGGATTTCACATTCATGTATGTACCTGATTTTTTTAGTTTGAACCTTGAAAAAGGAGAATGAACTTGAAGAAGAGTAGTACATTCTGATACATGAGGACCAACTATTTCTCTCATGGAAAAAGTATTCACTCCATTGGTAGACTTCTGTTCAAGAAATTCCCCACTTAGAGGGTTAATTAATGTGTCTCTGCTCTGACTAGAGCTGTCTTCATGTAATGTGCATTGTGCATAGATTGATATATTTCCTAAGAACTTTTGAAATTTATTTCAAGTTATTGTTGGGGCAAAGCCATGAGCAATTGTTTAAATTGGTCATCTTGAACCTCATGCTCTATCGTAGTGATATTAGTACAGATGTCTTCGCATAGCTGCATGAGTATTGACTCATACAGAAACTTATCTGGTGCTCCATACTTTGTATCAATTTTGAATTATTGGTGAGTCTTCTTTTGGGTGAATCAGTAGTTATGTTTTTATCATGTGATGTCCATTTTTCTTTACACTCTGCTCTATGGTATCCTTTGTTCTGAGTATGTTTTTGCATTGATTCCCATTTATTGTAGATGCCAGCATATTGTGTGCTCTTGCATAATATCCATAATCACCATTCAATGCCTAAAGAGAAACTTGTTCACATTTATATTCCCACTTCAGCCAGAAGAATCCTCTGAGCAACGGTGTGCTGAGACAGATGTTCAAACTGAAGAATCAATGGGACTTGAGGAGGGGACAGAAGGAGAGACTGAAAAAGAGCGTACATTGGATGAAATGGAAGAAGAGGTGGAGGAAGAGGAAGAAGATGATGAATGGAAGACCATTGACTTTGAAGAAATCTCTGAAGATGGAGAAGCTGAGTTTGCTGAGAGAACTGCTGATGGGACTAAGCCAAGTTAGTTAAATGAGCAGATTTCATTTCTGCCAACTCCAAATTTCTGCTGCATTTCCCATGACTTGGAGGCTGCAGCAGGATGGAAGGCACCTTGTGCATTGTTGCAAACAGCAAAGGAAAATACCTGAATTCAGATTGAGTTAATATGTTTTTGGTGTCTCATACTTTCTCAAATTCAGTTCATATCTTCCCAGAATTACTTTGTACTGCTTCCATGCTGACACAATAGTTTCTACTATCAGAAAGTTTGCAGGAGGAACAAAGTCATTTCGACAATGATCTAACTCAATTTGTAAAAGTATATAGTGAAACTTGAATTGTGAGAAATGGGTCCTAATTCATTTCATCATCTCCCTATATTTTACAAACATGTGGCATTCTTCCATAATGGAGACAAGAAGGAAGTTTGTGGATCTAGAAGACTGAACAGGTCTTATTGATTGAATGGTTCCTGCAATGTAGTTTGCAATTTTAGTTGTTCCTTTGTTTGCAACATGTCACAAAGTATTTTATTTGTGAGAACATCTCATACTGATGGCTTTTTATTGTCAAGAGTCATTCCATGCCAAGTCCTTCAATGGGCTATCACACTATCATCTTGGAACTTTTTTATATTGAAAGGTATTGATGGGGAAATGTCACTGCAATCAATTACATTCCTGCAATGATTGGCTATAAAGATTTTAATTTTAACGTTTGGATGCAGATTGTAACTTAGCATAGTCATTTTAATGGTTTCCAACATTTTTGTCGCTGACAAAACATCACGTGCACTTTTGATCGTTGCACTATTTCATCACAGGCAAAATAGTTGCATGGAGCAAAGGGGTGAAAGCAAGGTGAACAAAAGAGTAGAAAAGAATAGGGTCCCTGTGTTCCTCATGGGTATCAGCTGGGAAGGGGAGTCAAAGACATCTATAAGTCAAGAAAAGCTTGACTATAAAGCATATCTTTATGCTGTAGAGAGGCGAAGTTTTGATAAGATAGCATGGCAATGTGAGTTTTGAACCTGTAAGGGTAGGATGCACACAAGAAATGACAGAGTAGCCAAGTTTGACCACAATCATGTACCTAGTTCTGATGGTGTCCAAGTGACAAATGCAGTTGTGGTGCTGAAAGCCATCACTCAAAATCCTTAGGAACCCATGCATAGACTTGTGCAAACTGCATCTATTCCCAGCCTTTGTAATGCCCTCATGATGTGGAGAGCGCAATATTCAGTGTCTGCAACAAAATGGTGCAGTAACCAAAAGTGCATGCGACGTTTTGTCCACAATGAACTGTTTGTGACCTTTTTGACTGCAATGAAAGTTTCTCAGGATGCCTGAGGAACACTAATGTTGAGATTTTCTTTATTAAATTTTATTTTTCAGTCTCTTCTTTCTCCCATCAAAATGTGACCATATCTGTAAAAGTTATAATGCATCAAATGTGATTGCTTTTGCTGAGTTAGACTCCCATCTGCAAATTTTTTTTATGCGAATATTGAAAACTAATTGTTTTAGGACTTTTAAGTTATGGCAGTGACATTTTATCAGCTGTACTATTGTTAGAAATAAAATCTAAGATGATAGTGCCCCCACATTTTTTGTTATATTTGGTGAAGTTAGCTAGAATTTCCCTTGAGGAAATCAGGACAATATGCAGCTTTCTCATGCTACCCTAAAGAAACAATTGACTTCTGCAGATCAATGATGGAGTTCACTGCTATCAAATGCAAACTTCCGTGCACCTCCTCTGCAACCTTAGCTGCTCCTTGCATAATGCATGAGCCTTTAATGTGTTTTAGTGTGTATTTGTGTATTTTCTTAATTGAAATCTTCAAAATTCTTTCTGAACATGCTCTAGTTATTCGTTCTGTTCTTGTGTCACAGGTATTGCAGATGCACTTGATATAGATTGGGGCTCCTTGATATCAGAAACAAAACCAAAGACAATTGCTCCAGTCAGTGCAATGCAGAGATTCACACCTAAGAGGATCTTATCCCAAATAGGAATTAGTGCTGAAGGTAGTGGGAAGGCCTTATTAGACCAGGCCAAAAATATCCTGTCCCATGTTGACTCTGATGACACAGGTATGGGGCCATAATATCAAGTTTTGCTCTCAAAACCCATATTTTTCATTTCCATGAATATTGATTTCCATGTCCATTTTGACAGAGGACGAGAAATTGTTGGACCCCATGGCATCTTTGCACTCATATAAAAGGCAGCAAGAAAGGGAAAAGAAGTCTCTTTTTACTGATGTTGGAACCTTCTGTCGTGCTCTCACTGCATCCCATGATCTCCATCTTAGGTATGATTATTTATTCCCTTGAGGTGTTCTTTTCCTCTATCATTCACCCTGCTTAGTCATTCAATTTCTTGTTTCTTCTCTCAATATTTCAGGCGCCAGTTATGTGGCCTTCCTAAAGCTGAAGTCTGCACAGAAGGACTTCTGGGTTGCTTTATGCTTCACTCATCCATTCTCCACCACAACCTCTGCATTTTCCGTGCTCGGGTTTCTTCGACCTGATCACACAAATGTGAAATTCCTTAATTATTTTCAAGTAACTCCAGGCATTATTTCTTGAGTGCTACTCAGGAGATCATGCACTTGTTGTTCCAAGAAGCATTTCTCTTAGCAGGTTCTGGAAACACATGAAGTCATCACTGTTGGAATGGCATTATGAATTATGCAGACATGTTAACAGAGCAGGAGCCCTCTTGTTGGAAGACATGAATCTTGCTAGTTGCATTATACTTGAAAATGAGAGAGGGCTACTGAGTGATTCAAATGGGAAATCCCCATGAACATATCAGAGATCAGCAAGTATCTCTGATAGGGAGATGTGTAGCCTATGAGTGAAATGGGAAGCATTCTGAGGACTTCCAATTTTTTCTTTCCAATGCTTCGAAAAAAATGGCAGATGCTTGTAACATGAGGAAATAAAATTTTTGCTTCATGGGAAGGTTTTCTTACTTTCCAAATGTGCTAAGGTTTTGCTTTGGCCTGTATTGCTATGATGATAGCAGATGGCTTAACCACAGCCAGAATCAGGTAGAACTTGAGTTTCACCAATTTTGTACTTGGACTTCTTTGATATATTTGTGCACTTGAACCCTGGCCTATAAGTCTGTGATCTTGGTCCAAGAATAAGAACATGGAATACATTTTTTCAGGGATCTGAGTTGGCTGCACTGGCATGTACACCTCCATGCTAATATATTGATTCACCTCTCCCATCCTAGTAAAGTGAGAACATGAGATGGAAGTTTGTGTGAAATTGCTTTCTTTTTTTTTTGGTTTTTAGGTTTTCTTACTTGAATGTTGGCCATTTTGGAGAACTGAGGAAATGGCATGTAGTGAACAGCAAGAGGGATCCTCAACTTCACTTGATTCTTTAGATGGGACAGATCTAGAATGTGCTGTGTGCTTACAGACATGTGTGCACCCTGTTCTTCTTCCATGTGGACATCACTTCTGCTTCCTCTGCATCAAAGGTGCTACTAACCAGTATAAGAGATGTGCAATCTGTCGACAGGAAATTCCTCAAGAGTATCTGGATCATCCTCATCTCATCAACAATATAGACCTACATAAAGATTATGCCTTTGAAGATGGATATCAATGGTTCTATGAGGGAAGGAATGGTGAGCAGCTTGATTTTGTTGCCTTCAATTATTGGTCATGGAATGAACAGTTGATTTTCTTCCTAGGCTGGTGGCAATATGATGAGCGAACAAGTGCAGACTTGGAAAATGCATATAAACAAGGAGATCGAACCTGTGAAGTCCTTATTGCTGGCCTTTTCTATGTCATAGACTTCAACAATATGCTCCAAGTAGGAAGAGTTATTGTATTCCAGCCTCTTGAAAAGTTCTAGCTCTAGGAAATCCTGCAGTAACATAACTGCTTGCTTGTGGTTTCAGATCCGGAGGAATGATCCATCCCGGCGAAGACGTATTAAAAGAGATTTGGCATCTATTCCGAAGAAAGGAGTTGCAGGGCTGAGAATTGAGAGTTCAGCAGAAGAGAGCCTTGTTGAAGAAAGGGGACATCGTCAAACATTGAGCTCAGATCCACTTGCTCGAGGACCATCCTTTTCTCCTATCCCAGTCCCACCTACAAACACTCCACAAACACCTCATACCCCAAGCACTGGTAGCTCTAGCTCCTCCCCTCAACAGCAAGAGTCCATGTTGATGTACTTGGAACAACTCAGGATTCAAGATGAAGATGAGCCTGTAGCAAGCACTGGAGAAGGGATGCATCAAGCTAGTTCTTGTGTTCACCAGGACTTTGGATCCTCCCCAATTCGATTTAGACTCCAAAGGCCTCCTCGTTCTCATTCTCATTCACGTGCTCGATCCCTTTCAGCACCTTCTTTAGGCCCAGATGAGTTAGATGAGGCTCTTGTGTCCCTTTCCCTCTGTCCCACTTCACACCTCTGAGTGTTACCTTTGTACTCTACTTCATATCTTGATGAATTGCCCAGGAATTAGACAAAAAACTATTTCTGCAGAGGACTTTGCTGGTTGCATCCGCACTACTGTACATATCCATGCCAAAGTCATGCCTTTTCCTGTACTCCCACCCCAACAGTTATTTAGGTGACTCATTAACCAGTTGGTGGCTTCTCTTTGCTGCAACAATTTTCAAATGACCTGAATCTTTGCAAGATAGGAAATAATATTTTTCTGTGATATTCTTTTTAATTAAAAAATAGTGTACAGAGAGTTTGCCATAGAAGCATGATGGTTCATTGGTGTGATAGTGAAAGTGAACCCATAGGAATGTCATCAGGCAAGGTTTTTTAGATAATGTGAATCATGAATGGTGTTCCAAGATTTCTCTGCCATTTCATTGATTATCATGAGTGTTGTAATTTTTTTTCACCTCATACTTCATTGTGGGTGTGACATGCGCTGAATTTGTTTAGTTTAACCCGTAAAATACAGAGACCACAGAAAATTCCAAGATATTTTAAATGTTTCTTGCTTGATTCCACTGTTGAAGAAAATAAGTTCATTTTAGAGGGGATATGCTTAATGTTTACTTGATGATGCCTATTGAGACAAATTTGACTCTACATAAGAGTCTTCAGAATGGATATAACAGGAATGTAGGCACCTTGAAAAAAAAAGTTTCTAACGTTTTTGCCATGATAAGACCTGTCCAGAGTCTTATAATGGGGAAAGTAAATAGTTCATCATATTGAATTTCAGTGCTACATATGGACATGGGAAGGCGTTGAGCCTGTGAATTCCGTTTTTCTCCCCTTCCCTATTAATCTTGACTGGTGCGCTTATACAAAGTAGGTCGTTGCTCCTCTGTCCTTCCTTTGTCTTGACCCTGGATTTCAACACCATCGTGATTCATTTCTTTCAAGAAGGACAAGGGTCTGGCCAAAGTGAAAACCTTGGAGATGGTTTTCCATGCATCTGCAAAAGAGATGTGGCAATACTCAAAATCATGAGAAATTTAGCTGTGATTAAATGTTTTAGCTATATTATATTTCTGTCATCATATGGCTTTGGTTTCAGGAAAAGATTTGTGACTTTCTGTAGATCTGTCCTTTCACTTGTCACTGGAAACCTCATTTGGTTTATGTCCTTGTGTGATGTGGTTTTATCTTTCAATTATAGAATTCAATCCCACAAGCCTTTATATTTAAAAGAAAATGATGTTTTCATTTAGAATATTCACGTTTTTCTTTTCTTGCATGCCTGTGACTACAGCAAGAGGAAATGAGTGGAAATTGCAGAGAATCTGTAATTTGAATGTTTCAAATCCTAATTATATGATTTTTATTGAGTTTACATCAGGGCCGGCCTTAGGCATGTGCCCCCGCACAGGACGCAAATTCACGGGGGCGCCAAAGCGTGCCTGAACGAATGAAGAAATAATGGATGCCACCCTCAGTTTTACTTCAGGAAGTGGAAATGCCTTCTGTTTCTGCGTCTTTTTTGGACACGGGAATGACCCTTCTCCCTTCTGAAGGAGGGGGGGGGGGGGCCTTGGGAGTCTCTTTGCACAGGGCGCCGAAATTGTTTGGGCCGGCCCTGGTTTGTATCCAAGATGAGCTAACCATCTTGAATGAATCTTGCCATTACTGCCTTGAACCTCCAGTAGGAGCAAGAAGTTGGTTCAGCATAAGGCAGAGAAGAAAACAAATATCTTGACAGCAGATTTTGAGAAATGGAATTACCTGTAAAAGTGGAATTTGCTGATCATGATTCCTATCTGGCACATGTGAATCCACCAGAATAAGAACTTAGGATGTGTGATAATTCTTGAAATCTAAGGACAGAGGAAGGTTCAGGAAGAGGTGCGTCTTTTTTCAGTTCTGGTGCTAAGAGGACCTTATTTGTACTACCTGATTGGAACCGCCGCCAACCCCCAAGAGATTGCGAGACCTCGAAATGAGGTCATTTTGGAACTCCTACCATTGAGATTCTGTACGAATCTCACTTAAGCAACGCGCCCTGAATGTTACTCTCAATATTTCGCTTTATAAAGGATTCATTACCTTTCTGAAACCAAACAGAAGTGAGATGTCTCCGCACGCGATTTGTTTTCTTCTTTAGTAAAGGATTTGCCCTTAGCTTTTTAGTTTTTCGTCAGAAGATTCACATAGGACTCATTTTCTTTACTTGTCATATGATCTTTTTGAAGCTCTTCTATATCGTTATGCTAAAAGGTTTTCGACAATTTCCGCACAAGGTTACATGGTAAAATTATTTTTGGGACTTCCAGTAGCCAATGCTCTTCAGCAATATCTGCTCATCAAGGGAGGCAAGGAAGGACCGGTCTTCTCGAAATTTCTCGGGAGGCACTTTCCCAGATAATTTGAAAATATCCATTAAGACAGCAAATATACAAGGTGTGTCCCAAAAGTATCCGAACTTTTTTCTATACAGACAGTGGCGCCATTTGTTGAAAGAAGGTGGCGTTCTATTGGTTGAACCTTCATGTATTACTCTTGAGTTTGGTTGGGCTAAGACGAATGAGTCATTGCCTAGGGCGCCAAAAGTAACAGTACCCTCATGACACTCGTCGAGAAATCACCATGGAGCAGAGAGCTAGCATCAAATTCTGTGTAAAATTGGGGAAAACATTTACGGAGACGCTCGAGATGTTGCGGAAGGCTTATGGGGAACAAGCACTATCACGTACAACAGTTTACGAGTGGTATGCAAAGTTTCGGAATGGTAGAGAATCGTTGGAAGACGATGCACGCAGCGGGCGCCCTTTGACCAGTCGAACGGACGAAGCAGTGGAAAAAGTGCTTGATTTGATCAAAAGCGACCGTTGCATGTCCGTGAGACTCACTGAGGATATCATAGGTATCAGTAAATCACAAGTTTACCGCATTGACCGAAGATTTGCAGCGGCGAAAAGTCTGTGCGCGATTTGTTCCGCACTCATTGGACGACGATCAAAAACAAGCCAGAGTGCTGCCTGCCCAAGACATCATTTCGATCGCCGATAATAACCCAAACTTTTTAAAAACCATTGTAACTGGCGATGAAACATGGTGTTTTCAATATGAGCCACTCACGAAGTGCCAGAGCTCGGTTTGGAAGACTCCAGAAGAACCAACACCAAAAAAAGTGCGTATGCAGAAGTCAAAAGTGAAAACAATGCTAATCACTTTCTTTGATTCGGCTGGGATTATCCACAAGGAGTTCGTTCCAGAAGGCCAGACGGTAAATGGCGAATACTACCTCGTCGTTATGAAGCGTTTGCTGGCCAGAATTGCTTGGGTCCGTCCTCGATACCAAGCACCAGGCAGCTGGTCTCTCCTCCACGACAATGCTCCGTCTCACAGGTCCATCATTGTGCGGAACTTTTTGGCCTCAAAAGGAGTCGTAGTGCTTGACCACCCGCCCTATTCGCCTGATTTGGCACCCTGTGATTATTTCCTTTTCCCCAAACTAAAAATGAAGCTGAAAGGAAAGCGTTTCGACACAAGGTTATTTCCGCCATCTCGGAGGAAGACTACCAGAGGTGTTTCCAAAAGTTGTATGATCGCTGCAAAGCCTGCATTTATTCGGAAGGGACGTATTTTGAATAATCAATAATAAAAATTATAAATATCACATGGGAAATTGATTTGTAACTGAAGTTCGGATACTTTTGGGACAGACCTTGTAGTACATCCAAAAAATTTTTAGAGATATCGCTTTAGTACATGACTAACCATATGTGGGGTAGCAATTGTTTCATGGTTGAGCCCAGTTTACTCTCTTTTGACATGTCAACGCGTCGGAGTAGGGAAAATCTTTAACCTCTCAAGAGCAACAGGACATCCTGAACATGCAAAAAGAGGAGAGGACGATTCACGACACGACGCGGATTTTGATTGTCAGCCCGGCTTTGATTTCCAACGTTTGGAAGAGGAAACACACGGAAATTGAGAAGTGGGGACCGAAGAGGACCCAGTTTTCGGCTATCGATTCCTTTGACATTGAAGTCATACGTCAGGAGGTATTATGCGATGTACGCGGAGATAGTGCCCGACAAAAAAAAAACCCGATTATTGGAGTGAAAGAATCACGGGCTCAAACATGGCAATGTCATGTATTTTTAATGATGGAAGAAATATCCAGGAGCGTAATTCCGATGAAGATGTGTACCAGTTGAGCCATGAATGACAGAACTTTCTCGCCCACTCCCAGGGGCTTGTTCCTCGCCTCTGCTAAACTTAAATCTAAATCTAAAAGCAAAAAAAGTATATTCTTTGCCCTGACCCTTTAGACTGAGATTTAACCTAAGATTTAGATTTAAGTTTAGCAGAGGCGAGGAACAAGCCCCTGGTGTTGGTCGAAGTACCGCCACAAAAGTTTAGTCCTGTTGCGAAGCAAGAGCATGTTGGCCACTCTCTACAGCAAAGTTGGTCCACAGATTTATAGGGGTTTGCAGTTCCATGCCTACCCATTCATCAACAGTTCCCTACAGATTCACTCACATTCATTCAATTTTTTGTTTGAATGTACATGGCCTGAGGCATAAGAAGTACCCAAGGATGATGATGGATGTTTCCCGCTGAAATGCTTAGGATTGATAATGTTATGCTTTTTAAATGTCTTGCAAGAGAGGCACTCTGGCCATGAAAATCGACGAAGCATTTTTTTTTCGGTCTTAGCTGGTAGATGTTCAGAAGCTGGATGCTTTCATGCGGCCAGAAATATTTCGTTCAAACTGAGATATGACGACAGCAGGGAGGACACTGGGCTTCTCCATAATGCAATTGTTGTCTCACATTTGGGTAGTCTTGTATACTTCAGTGACATCTCTTTAAAAAAAAAACTTTGGGAGGTACTATATCTGAAAGAAGGCTTTGAGAATCGTTGGATTCTTTCTCAATAGCCGCAAAACGAGCGAAGTCCGATCTCAGACAGTTGACGCCTGCCCAGAATCGCCAGGGGAGGCTCATAGTGTATAGGGGTATGCACTATTGATACAGTATTATATGAGAGCAGGGAGGCTGGCCTCATTGCATTGCGCACGAGCCGATGCTTGCTAGGCTCCTTTGCCTCAAGTAGAGAGCTGTTCGGTGATCAAAATTCGCATTGCCAATTTATGTCTATGCATTTGCCATGATGAAAAAGACTATATGCACTATGCATAATCGTGATATTCGCTAAGTTGAGCCAGATTTGTTTGTTTTTTTTCTTCTGAAGTTCTGAAACTCGCCAAGGGAAAAATTCTTCATATCACAACTTTTCTCCTTGCTCCGGCGGCGCCTCTACTCTCCCTCAAGTGTTTGATGGAAGTTTCAATTTCCGCTCAGCCGTTTATTTGCTCCCTGCCAATTCAAGAAGTGCAGCTCATCAGACGGAAAGACTGAACTAGGCACACCTTACTTGCTTCATGCTCCCGATAATAATACCCTGAATTCTTGCTCATTATGATGATCATGTGCTGGCCTCCCCAGATTTTTCGTCCATGAGCCGTCACTGCTCTTCGATATGGCAGTGGCGTAGCGTGGTTGGCATGGGCCCTGGTGCCAGTGTTGGGCGGTAACGAAGTAAAAGTAACGCGTTACAGTAAATAATTACTTTTTTCAGTAACTTTTAAGGTAACGAGTTACTTTTCATGGGAGGGTAACGGAACTGGTAACTAGTTCCTTTTTCACGGCAAAAGTATATGGCGTTACTGTAACGCGTTCCTTTTCTTGATGATTTACTAAATTTGCTGAAAACAACCAGCGCTTCATGGCCACATGCATCCTAATTGATGCAATATTGGGAGGAAAGATGGG